CGGTGCGCTGGAGGTGCCAGCCCCAGGCGCGCAGCACTTGGGCGGCCCCAGCCCTGGGGCACATGCTGGCGCCGGGTGCAAGGGCATCCCTGCCCCTGGCGTGCCCCAGGATGCGCGGCTCCACCCCCCGGGCACCTGGCGCGTGAGTGGCCCCGCCCCCTGGCGCGGCAGTGGCCCCGCCCCCAGGCGCCCGGGAGCCTCTAAAGGTTGGGGACCACTGCCCTACGGCATTCAAGGCAGCAGCGCTTCATGGAGCAGCTAGCCCCTTAGACCAGTGTAATGTTCAGTTTTTTTACCATGCTTGAGACAATCTTTCAGCCTCAGAATCTTCTATTCTTAGTCATTAGTTTACAGGCTAAAGAAAATATTCCTCTTGCAAGTGTTATATGGCCTAACCCTTCCTGCAATGCAGACATCTATCTAAATCATAAGAAACTGGGAAAACTATACAGTATTGTCTAGTCCAGTGGTTCTCAACCAGGGGTATGCATACCTCTGGGGTTACACAGACATCTTCTAGAACAAACATCAGCTCTCAAGGTATTTGCCTAGTTTTATGACAGGCTGCATAAGTCAGTACAAACTAAATTTTCATACAGACAATGACCTGTTTATATTGCTCTGTATACTATACATTCAAATGTAGGTACAGGATTTATATTCAAATTTATTTTATAACTATATGGTAAAAATGAGAATATAAGCAATGTTTCAGTAATAATTCTCTGTGAAACTTGTATTTTTGTCTGATTTTGTAAGCAGATAGTTTTTCAGTGAGGTGAAACTTGGAGTATACAAGACAAATCAGACTCTTGTAAAGGAGTATGGGAATCAGGAAAGGTTGAGAACCACTGCTCTAGACCTACCACAAAAAGAAACTCAGGTTCTGAGGTCAGGCCTTTTACTGCTACTCCTAACAGAAGGCTCTTGTAAACACAGTCTTAATTTGGTGATTAAGCCTAACCACAAAAATGAACCACTATCTGATTAGCATCAGGGAGCCTGTCATTACCAGATATCTACATCACAGGCATCACCATGCATCCCCATGGTTGTGCTCTTTGTTAGTATGAAGTGAAGAAGCCTGTCTGAACTACCTTATTTTTTGTTCCCATTCAGGTCAGGTAAGGCATGCTGGCTTATCACTGACGTGAAGAGGAAATTTACCCCTACTGTATCTATTTATGTTGACAAAAGAAAAAACGCCAGTTTCCAGGCAGAACTGTGTACAGCTGCATCAATCCGCATCTGTCATCATAACTAATAAATACAAATATTATTTTTGAAGTATTTGAGCACAGATGAAGGAAGACAGAGGGAGTCATTCAAATTTTGTTTTATATAACTTGACGGTGCAGGTTTTTTTAGTTCCATTCCCATTGTGACCAATAATTCTGTGTGCCTGTAAATCCTCTCCTTTAGTTGGGTTTTTTCCTTGTAAATTGATAGAGTAAAATGACTCTGCTTTTAATTATATGCATGTCTTTAATCTCAGACAAAGTTTCTCTTTTGCTTGTGTATGGTGTGACTTTTATGCACAGTAAAAAAGCTAAAATTAATTTATCTAGAAAATGCAAAACACTTCATTGATGCTGTCTGGATCTTGAATATGTTTTCATTACATCGTGCTCAAATTTGGGGTTATGCTAAGTTTTGCATTAAAATATGCTTTCATCATGGGCAGTGCCATATTAAAGTGATTTTTTTGAGAACTGGAATGCTGAAAATGTGGTCCATTAAAGTAACTGAAGTTTATTGAAGTTCATTTTGCTTTACAAACTAAACAGCTGGACTTACCATAATCAGTGAGTCTACTAGACATCTTTGCAAAGTAACTTTTATAGTGACACCAGATGGATTCCTTACTGTATTTCTCTCATCTGTATTTCTGCTATGCTTTTCACCATATAATTTAATTACATGCTAAAAAGGAGCAGCAGAGATTTCATTTCCATCTTCAGTTTATATACACTAGGTTTTTCATTCAATGTTAGCACAGAACACTAGTTTGAGCGAGGTGAGTTTGGGCCCAGTTACACCTAGTAATAAAGATAACTTTGGGGCATACTTGTAAAGGAAAATGTGAAGTTTATCAGATTGATTACAATTTCCCTTGGTAAAAAAGATCAAACTTTTAAAACTAGCTATTTTATGAAGCTTCTTGTGATAAAGGTTGTGCATGTATAAAAGGATTTAGTTACTAAAAATAGTTTTATTACTGAAACCTTTAAATGACAAGGCCTAGAATAACCCATATTTAAAATCTACAGCAGTGGTGCACAACCCGGCCACTATTTTCTGCTTTTCCCAGCTCGGCGCCCGACGGACTCGGGGGCAGGGGAGCAGTAATTAAAGGGGCTGCAACTGCATTTCAGCGGCTCGGTGTGGGTTTTCTTTTAGGGGGTGGGGGGAGCTCCAGTATTTTTGGTGACACCATTTGGCAACCCTACCAGCTGCTGGTGGCCCCCGCAGTGTGGGGGTCACAAATGAAAAAAGGTTGTGCGCCACTGATCTACAGATAGGTTATTACTCTTTTGAATTTGATTGCAGTGTCATTGCATTTCACCTACAAATGTATTAACTAATGGTGGGGAATCTTCCATTCTTAGAAAATGCCTTCTGTTTTGGGATTTTTTAAAATATGGTTACCAGGAACCAACTTGTGTACTTTTTGGAAAAATGATTTTTAATCTCACTTCATAACTCAGATTTGTCATATTTTAGGAGGGAAACTTACACATCTCAAATAACCGGAAATGCTAACATCATAATACTCGCAACTATGGGACTAGAACCTAATTTACAGTGTAATGTTTGGGGAGGCATAAATTATGCTAATTTTCAGTTTATAACTTTGAAGTGTTTTTGATTTCTTCACAAATTGTACTTTAATGACCGTGCACTGTTAAATCACTGTGATTAAAACAATTTTTATGATGTTTGCCTCTGACAGTTTAAAAATAATTTGTCATTAGATAAATTTACAATGGCAGTTTTAGGTTTAGAGGAAGATCTATGGACTGCCTATAAGAAGTAATTGAATGAGCCTGTCACTAATAATTTCATTCTGCAGCTAATAGCACTGGGTTTAATCCAGAAATAAGAAATTCCCTCAGTGAAGAATTTTTCCTTGTTGAACTGTATGGAGGTATGTGTAGTAAATTTACCCGGAGTAAATTTTGAAGAGATATAGGGGCTTTCTCTAAGCTCTGTACAAACCTCAACAATATACAGTTGTAAGCCAGGTTTTTTTTTTTTAATTATTCTTCTGTCAGAATTCTAACAAGATGGCATGTTTTTAAAACATGTCAGTGTAAAAAGCAGAATACCGTTTTAGGCTGTAATTCGTGCTTCTTCTCCTCATGGCTTGCAAAATGACAATTCATGACATTTGATATTCTTGAGATAGGCTCTGTAATTGGATGCTCAGCCATTTTATTTATGATCTGTATATTCTGAAAGAATGGACATTTCTTTTTATATCATTGTTCAGTGACCAAAAAAAACTTAGATTGTTACAAATGTTATTGTATACATAAGGTTAATTAGACTCTCTGGTTGAACAATTACAAATTTCTATGCTGAAAGAAGAATATAGTATTTTGGTTAAAAATGAAAAGCAAATTTAGATTCAGTTCTGGAAATGGTAGTCCTTCAGTTATTCACAGTGGGTGTGGTCTCACTCAACAGAAGAGTGGAGGTGTCTCACCAATGTCTTCAACTGCGACCTGTAGAAACCATTTCTTATGAGAGGAGGGGTATCCAGTTCAGTAGAATGCAACTTGTGGTAGAGTCATGTGAGGAATATAGGCAAACTATAGGAAGTAGACAAACTAACATGTTATAATCTACCTATTTTGGCCAATCTGGGTCAGCTTCGAACTAGCGGGATGGAAGTGAAAACTTTGAATTGCATCATGAATGTTGTGAGTAAACCAGTCCCATGCCAGTTTAAAATGTTAAAGAAATCTCAGTCTTTTAAAAGAATCATAAACTAAATAATGTTTATCATTACGGTGTGCTTCTTGTAAATGGAAACAATTTGGGGTTGTTATAAAGAAGTGCTGTGACCAGAAACACACAACCTTTTTGTTTACTATAAGAAAAATACAAATGAGTAAAGGACTCTGGACTGAGCAAAATGACTACCCAAGAAAATTGATCATGAAACTTTCCTTATGATGGGAATGTTTGAACTTATAATCTATACTTCAAAGTTTAAAGCACAGCCGCAATCGCTGGCATGGCAGAACTTTACATTTGAAAGTGTGGTCACGGCACGAACGCTGTGAGAGAATTCTCTCAGATCTTTAGGTAAACAACCTCCACGAGGGGAGTGGCGCTTGCAGCCTACTTCACGCTGGCACTTTACAATGCTGTAACTCGCTGCGCTCAGGGAAGGGGGGACTTCACATCCCAGAGCTACAAATTTACCGCACTGTAAAGTATCCCTAGAGCACTGAGAGAGCTCACTCTCAGCACTGTTGCCATAATGACACTGCTGCATTAAAGTACTGCCAGCAGCTCTTTAATCTTTACCTATAGTTAAACCTACACTGGAAATACTACAGCAGCACAGCTGCAACTGCACTAGTTTAATAGTGTAGACATTTACTGTGGTGACAGAGGTTTTTTTTTTTCCATCCCTGTAGTAAATCCACATTTGCAATAGTGTAGACATTCACTGTGGTGACAGAGGGTTTTTTTTTTCCATCCCTGTAGTAAATCCACATTTCTCAGAGGCAGTTGTTTGGCTGACAGAATTCTTTTGTCAACCGTGAAGTGCTACGTACACTAGGGTTAGATCAGCTTTCCTGAATGTCTCATGGGGAGATGTTTCACACCTTTGAGCAATACAACCTGTTTGACCTCAATTTTAGGTGCAGACCAGACCCAAAATTACTAATGCCCAAATCCTGAATGTAGTACATACCCCAATTAAGTGGGCTGAGAAGGGACCTGGAAAGTGAACAGTTTTTTTTTCCTTCAGATTTTAGAATTGCTCTGAAGCTGTTACTATCTTAGGGCTACAGTAGCCTCTGAAGCTGATGTATGCACCACTTACCTTAGGCCGGGCTTTTGTCCAGGGTGAGGGTGATATTTTGTCACTGAATCTGTATTTGGGAGCATGCACCAGCCATGCCCTCGCTCTCTTCTATGCTGGAGTACAAGGATATCCTGCAGGGCACTATAAAACCCCTGTTCACGCTTCCTAAATTCTCCTTTCTTACACAGTAGAACTACAACAGTTTGGGTGCTTTCAGGATTCCCAAGGCTTGAGGGGAAGAGGCGGTGCAGGGGAGGAGGGTGTTTAAAGAAAGGTTTATCTTCCTGAATACAGTTCTTTTTCGATAGTTAAGCTGGTTGAGGTTTAGTTCCTTTTCAGATGGTTTAATTCCTGTTTGGGAAGTATTCAGATGTAACAATTCAATTCTCTTATCTAAATTAAAGAAAAAACAACCTAATTTTGATTTACCACTAGAGAATTAATTAAAAAGTGATGTATCTCGTACAAAAAAGTATAGCTCAAAACAGATAACCATGTTTATCTGCCTAGTAATTATATAAGCACAGATATTATTTAACTGAAAAATTATAGCCAAAATAATCAGAATTCAGCCCTGATTCTAAAAATTTTTTCTTAGCCAGATATCCCATTGAACTTTCTGAGCCCACATCTCAGATACTTCAAGTTTGGTAAGCCTGAAAATATGTCCACTGGAAACACCGAACTCTTAGGATAATATGTGGAGTGTGTTGAACTGGTCCCAAGCGAAAAAGTGTGTTAAAAATATTTTTGGGCAAATTTTAAACGTTTGACCATATTGTAGTCTAGTTTCCTGCTGCACCTGTGTGTTTCCCCCCCTATGAGTTTTGAGACTCCTATAAAAGTACTGACTAGTCATGCATAGTTCAGAGGTCCAACATGGATATACTGGTAACCAGAAGTGGTTTGGCTCAGGTAATTGCTGTATGCTGCTGCCTCACTAAAAATAGAGGACCAAGTTTTAAGGCATGGTTTTTGGAATACATGTAGAAGTACAATACAAAAAGGACAGATGTGGCATTTGAAAAATCATGCAGGCAAATGAGAGAAGCTGCAGTAAATTTTATGACCCAGATATTATACATATATTTCATAGATTTGGGTTGTAAGTTACAAGATTTGAGACCTACAGTAGGAAATGTTAAAGCATACTTGTCTCATTTGTTTTACAGAGCTGCCTTTTGAAATGAAGTCCCATATATTTATTTTGAAAAGTGGTGACTTTGATGTAATCTAAACTATGTAAAGTCACAGAGTACCAGAGAGATCTGACATCTCCTTTTAAAGGTTCTAAATGTTGTGGTCTGAAAGGTCTGGTTCTTGATTTATCTGAATACATGAGAAATTCCCAGGCTCCCATATGTTTGCTAAGAGACAGCTAGAAAAGATTGACTCTGCATTGCAAACGCTATGTTTGGGCAACCTTCTCAAAGGCAAGCAGTCTGGTGAATAAACATTAAATTTGTGCTCAAATAACATTTTCTCTTTCCTTGTCTGCTTGGGCCTTCATTAGTGTGTCAGCAAAGCTAAGATCAAATAAAACCTTCTGTATGAGCTGTAGCAGTGTCCGTTTACACAAACTACTTTTCTTCTTCACAAAAGAGCTCCAAGTGATCTGGTGCTTATTTCATTACCCTACCCAAGAAAGGTGGGGAAAAACTGTAGGTGCTGAACAAAAGCAAAAAAAGGGAAGGGGGGTGGAAAGCAGCTTGTGGAATATTTGAAGAGTTGAACATTGCTTTTTGGAAACATCTTGAAAAAATGGACGGGGGGGGGGGGGGGGGGGGAGAAGGGTGTATGTGTTTTTTTGTACTAAGCAGTAACCTCCCAGATTGAAGATGGAACTCTGCATTTGTTAGAAGAAATGTTTTGAGAACTACAAATTTTGTCTAATTTGCTCTTAATTGAACACTTGCAACTTTCTGCCTTTATCTGCGAAGGAGACTAACAAAAAAGGTAAGTTCTGAACTTTACCAGGTATGTATTGTATGTATTGTTAATATTTTTGTGGTCATAGTAAATTCTGATTTTAAGCTTAGTGCTCTTTAATATTAGATAACTAATGTTCTGTACCTTTTAAAAATCAGTATACTTTATACCTGAATTAAAAAAAACAAGATAGACATTTTTATTATCTGAAATAGGATCATGAACGGGGGGGAGGGGAGTTCTTGGTTACATTAACTTGCTATAGTTGCAGTTGCACTTTTTTTTACTATTATTGTTGCCTAAATTTTTCCAAATGGTAGGAAAAAGCACACTTTCATGTTGTCTGCATGACTCATTGCCCTTGGATTTTTTAAGTGTAATTATTGGATCCCAAAACCCATTTATGAAGGCAAGGGGGAAAGTGTTAGTTTATTAGGTTTCAGAGAGGTAGACATGTTAGTCCTTCAGCAAAAACAATAAGGAGTACAGCAGCACTTTAAAGGCTAACAAGTTGTGCATAATTCTGTGGGAGCCTAGGACTTGTTTTAGTGGAGCAATATAGGGCTATTTCTAATTAATGTCTATATTAATGCAAGAATATTGTCAATAAAACATCTATTTCCATTAGATCGTTATCGAAAAAGTACTTAACAGGTACTCTGGTTTTCCTGCTCATCTGTAAGTAGGCAACAGGTAACAAATTAAGCAGTAGGATGTAATACAAATACCTATGTGGTAAGACCCAGCTATAGCCACAGCTGGGATGTATGGAACAGTCAAGTTCCCCTCAAATACCTAAGTCTGAGAATCACTGCTGGAGAGAGTGGTTGGTTGCCATTTAATAACAAGACTAGGAAAACATGACTGTCATAGTTGGAATGGCTTAAAATATTTAAGAAATAACCACTTTAAATATTTTCTATCTTACTCTATTTGTTTGCAGAACTACAGTGATTTGAATGTCTACTCTAGTCAGCATTAGGACCACGTTGTTTTGGGCACTGTACAGATGAGTAACACAATACTTTCCCGAAAGTTCCATTCTTATTTTGTTATGACACTCTTTTAGCTGGACACCTGCAGTCTGCACTCTTTTGCCTTCAGCACTACTTAGGATTATGCAACTTCAACTATTTCCTTTTCAATGTGTTTGTTTAAACAAATCATCAAAGATGTCTAGTTGTGCGCAATAGTCTTAGAATTAAACGTATGTCTACACACTAAAAAGCTTTTAGCTGCATGACTGTGTTGATGTAGCCCTGTCATTAGTTAGGGCTTTTCTACACTGGCACATATTGTTGCCAAAAACTGCCTTTTGGTGACAAAACAGTGAAAGCGTTTACACTGCAATATGATTTTTGTTGGGAAAAACACCCAGTTTTGGTGACAAACTTTCAGCTTGTGAGGGTCTTTTATCTTCTCCCCTCTCTTTATTGTTGACAAAGAGCCCTCTGTTGTTTGTTTTTGTTGAGAGAACTGGCTTCTGCCAGTATTTCGCAATGCCTGCCCTGATGGATGTTCTCAATGTTTCATGATCTCTGCTGCTCTGCAGGCATTTGCCTTTCCCCTTTCAAACATCTGGGAAATCTGCTCGTTTTGGGAAACAAAGAGCAAATCATTGGAATGCTTCTGTTCTGCCCTGCTAGGAGCACAGCTGCAGGCAGACTGCTGCAGGTGAAGGGCTGGAGACACTGCTGTGCTGCTTTGACATTCCTCAGTATGGCAAGCTCACAGAGCTATGAGGGAAGCCCAAGAAGTGCAGGGATCAGCTCTGCCTTCCCCCATCACTGCAGTGTGGGGTGCTTACCCACAATACTTTGCTCTAGTTGTCCACAGGATGCTAGTAATGTGGCCATGAAATGGTGGCAATGAGAGACGAAAAAACCCCCTATTTGACCAGTTTTCACTTTTGGCAACTTTGCGCGTCGACAGCACTTGTCACCAAACCTTCCCAGTGTAGACCTAGCTTTAAAAGTCAGGCAGTGCCCACAAAGCTCTGCTTATACTAGAGTACTTGCCACAGCAAAGCTTTTGTACATTTTTTTAGCACCTGTGAATGACAAAAACTGTTCCGCAATAGCCAGTGTAGACAAAGCCTTTAGTATTTGATGGATTTCCTGCTTCAGAAATGTTCTGGATTAAGAGCCTGAAGGCTTCTGTTCAAACATCAACCAAGTTACAGCAAGGGCAGAATCAGCCCCTAACATCTTCCCTTTCTACTCCCCTCTCTACAGTGCATTTCCACTTAGACCTGGGCTTGAGTGTAGGTCAGTCTCTCTGCTTCTTCTTAAATGTTGTGGGAATTGTATTGAGACAACATCACATCATCTACTGATGATCAGTTAGCAGTAATTTTTGGACATTACTAAAATGGAGATATTGCAAACCGGCAGCCAGATTAAAGCTGAAAGGCTCTATACTTAATTCCTAGGGATATAACAATTCCCTGTGTTGGAAGAGATTTGCATATGTATCTGGCAGTCTTGTTTAGTCTGTATAAACTTTGCAGAAAAGAAAGTAGGATATTTTAGATGAATGCCAGTATAAGTGGCAACCATTTTAAATATCTTGAAACCTTTGTCCATTCCCTTCAGTCTCACCATATCTCTTACCTCCTTCCTTCCCCTAATCCACAAATATGAGAAGACACATTTATGTACACAGTTACATATGTACATTGTTCAATATCTTACTGCTCCATCAGTGTGTCCACCAATACACAAGGAAACAATTAAATAGAACTGTAAAAACTTTTCCCCAGCTTCTAAAAGTATAGATGGTACTAAGGTACATGATTTATTGGCAATTATTCTTACCTCCCTTGCCGAGTCAGGTTTTGAATGGTCCCTTTATATGGCAACTGCATACTTGGTAGCTTATATGATGAGATGGTTGGTAAGCACACGTTGCTTAGAGGGATGTAGACAAAAGCAATCGTTGCCCTCAGGATCCTTGCAGCCTGAGATAAGGAAAAATAAATTAATATATTGCTGGAATTTCATTGTTCTACAAAGCAGCCAGACTAACTCAACTCTAACTGAATTATTTTCATTCTAATTCTTTTAACTTCACTTAGTTTATAAGAAAATATTACGTTATTTTGGGACGGTCTTTATTTGTGCTTTGTACACCACTGTGTACACTGGCACTTGACTGATCAGAATGAGATATGTAGCAGTAGAGCTATTCAGCTGCAGTATGTTTATCTTACACGGGTTGAAACATTGCCAAAATAAGAATACTAAGTTAAATTTTGTAGATTCTTTGCAACTTCCAGGAGATTTTTTTCAGTTTACTGTGACCAAAACCCAGTATATGTAATATACTGGATGTGTAAATTTTATTACTAATAGTGAGGCTGTGGTCAGACTGGGACTTCATTGTGGTAGGCACTTAGCAAACACGGGTACACATGATCTCTGTCCTATAGATTTTTCAATCAAATTAGTAGAAGATCTGACCAAAGTGAGTAACACACAGAACAGAAAGATGAGGTTACCAAAAGGACAGTGTGTTAAACTTCATATTTTACAATATTTTCGTGCTTTACTTTTTTTTTTTGCTTTAAAAATTCTGTGTCAAACCAGGAGTCCCTGTTTCCATTCACTTTTATCCCATCTTCCACTGAACTAGAAAGAGACCCTAGGCTTTCTGCCTATTGCATATTTTTCCTGCTCCCCATCCATTTAAGCTATTCACAACTTTACTTTGGCCTACCATTTTATTATTTCCTTGAGGGCTGGCAACAGAAATCCCCATAATGCCTGGCCCCCTTAGACATTAGTCTGCCAGGTCATTTTCTTTGCACAGTTCAGGGGATTGGTCCCTGCAAGCACAAGAAAAGAAAGTGACTGGTCCCTTATAAATCACATATTTTGATTTTGCTATAGGCCAAAGCTGTGAAGATGTCAAAGGGGCCTGTTACAATGCTTCATACTGTACCTTGCCCAACAGCCAGTCTCCCAATCACAAAGAATAGCTGAGATTCTTAGGTGTTCTTAGCTCTTGGAATTTTATTAACTCTTCTTAAGCTCCAGTGGCTGGAAGCATGTGATTTGGTGAGAATCTATGCTTTACTCTTTTTAAAGTAAGTTTCGAGCCCTCATTTATAGAAGAAAAATGTGCAATTGTGCAAAAGCTCAGAAAACAAATAAATGAACCCTGAGGGGGTTTTTTGGCGGGGGAGGGGAGAACATTTCATTTTTAAGATAATGCCATTATGTTTTTGGAGAACAAAAGCTCAGGTATCAGAAAACAAATAAATGAACCCTGAGTGGGTTTTTTGGCGGGGGAGGGGAGAACATTTCATTTTTAAGATAATGCCATTATGTTTTTGGAGACTAAATAATTATTTATATATTTAAAAAAAAAAAAAAAAGCTTGGGGTTGGCAGTGTTTGGGGTCTGGAGTTGCTGAAGTACATGGGCCTCCTTGGCTGCAAGAGTTCTGTCCTGTTTCTCTTGGGAAGAGCCTGGCTAGACTCCTTGCCCTGCATCTTCGGGCAGATACTGATGCAACTGAATAATACTCTAGGAGTTACTGAAAGTTTTACATTCAGATTTAAATTCAAATTTGATACAATGTTTTAAACTGTCTACAGAAGACTTATTAATAATAATCCTTAGATGTGTATTATATTTGCGTTGTAATATTTTGGGACACAATTTGAGTGGCTATTATGATGTAGAATATAGTAGCATTGTTTTCACAATTCAGGTAGGTCAGGTTTACACTAAAGGGGAAGGTTGACTTAAAATACGCAACCCTAGCTATGTTAATTACATTCAAGGAATCTTAAATCACATTTTTGTGCCTCCCACACAGTGGGAGGTCGACAAAAGCAAATGCTCCCATCAACTTCCCTTACACCTCATGAGAAGCAGGATTACTGACACAGATGGGGGCACCCTCTAAATTCGAATTAGCGGATCTTCACTAGATCTGCTAAATCGACCCCTGGAAGATTGACTGCAGCGGCATCGATTTTCCGCGTAGTGTGCACATGGCCATAGTGTTGGAGCATTTCAATATGTTATCATACTAAGGATTTTGTAGTGCTTTTCATCCAAGATTTGAAAATGTTTTACAAATATTAAGCCTCTCTTCATCCTGGGAAATAGTTAACAAATATGTATGGAAAAAATCACTTGGCCCGCCATGGAGGTGAAACATAGCATCTGTCTGGCAGTGTACAGTATAGCAAGATTTATAACAGTTTTAAGACAGAAAGTGTAGAAGAATATTGTATGCAGGTGAAACTGTAAAACATCTGAAGAAATGGTCTTATGCAGTTGGTGTTAGGTTGTTAGCCAGAACACTGTGGCTAACACCTTGATTTTATAAAAGTGGTATGTGGTCTTTAATGACTACCAGCAGAGATGGCATTTTGTAAGTATTTAAGCAGCTCTTGCAGAAATATCTGGTGAATTAATTTTCTGTGACCAAGATTTACTTTTACATTCTGCTTGCGATGATTTGGGGGATGTATCTGTGTCAAATTGTTTTATGTGAATGTTATGTTCTGTTGACTCCATTTTGAATGTAATCATCACTGTGAATTAGAGTATCCATTTTGTAGTGGGGATTTGATACCCAAGCTATGGCTACACTAGAGAGCGTACAGCACTAGAGTTGCATAGAGGCAGCTGTAAGGTCTCAAGGCCAATGCTTTAGAGAGCTCTGTCAGCTTGCTTACTCCATCCCCCACAAGCAATGGTAGCTATGCCAGTGGGGAAGTTTTTCTACAGACAAAGCACTGTCCACGTCGTGGCTAAGTCAGCACAAGTTGTCACTCAGGCAGATGGGTAATTCATACCACTGAGCAACATAATTTTTGTCGATTTAAACTGTAATATAGCCACAGCCGTAATGGAGAAACTTATGTCTGGGGAGCTAGGACAGAGACATTAAAGGCCATCAACACTGCATGGCTCCAGTCTGGTGGAACAATGGTTTTTTGTTTGTTTTTTTTACCTGCCGGAACATTGATTTGGAACAATTCTACCAGAAAGCTGTAGGAGGCCTGGAAATTCTGTCAAAAATGCATAGGCAAGAAAAGTATGACATTCTTTGAAAGATGCTGCTTCTCTGTGAAAGGAGGCCATCTCACTTCAGCCTGTAGAAGAGCTGCCTGGTCTAAAGACTCTGACTAAACCAAAGATTTGTGCAATTGGGGAAGTGTTGCTTTCAGGAATTAGTTGTTTCCTAAGAGCTATAACTCTCCGGTGCTGTGTATGGTATTTTGTTTGTGTTTTGGTTTTTTAAGAGTTTGGTATTTGTGGATAAAAAATTCCTTTGCTAAGTGTTCACTACTTTACTGCTATAGTCTGGTCCTGAAACGTGTAATGTGGGATCCAGCACTTCTGTAGCTCCTTCAGGTGAACGCTGAGGGGAATGTGTCAAGCAACTGGACTCTTTTATTTTTCTGAAAGTTAAGTAAATGAGGTTTGTATTTCTTCTTAATTTAATCATGCCTCAAAGTTTTGGAATTTTGAATAGCAAGAAGGTTTTCTGTCTGGTGACTATTTAGTATAAAAGGGATTTTGCACCCCCAAATAGTTCATTTTTGGTCCAACATGGCCAGTGTCTCAAGTATGTAGATGAGGACACTCATTGAAAGAGCATGCTATCTGCACCCCTTTTAAATACCTGTGGGATAGGAGTCCAGTGCTCCATGCCTTTCTTATGAAGGTTTGGATGCTCCAGGATGATAGTAGGGATATAAAGTCCCATTGAATTGGTTAACTGGTTAAACATTGTGTTGAGCTGGTTAACCAATTAAAGGGGGTGCAGGTAGAAGGGCTGTTCCAATTCCACTGGGCTAGAGTGACCCCCACCTGCTGAGTCTGGTCTGGAGCAACTCCCCTTTTCTTCCCTCACCGCTTGGCCACAGGCAGCGACTGCTCCTGCTGTGCCTCCCTGCTGGGCGCCCGGACACTGGAGCAGCCCCTGCCTGCAAGGCACACGGGCCCACTGTGGACAGGACAACTGGCGCAATCCCTGTATATGGCAGGCCGCTGCAGGGCTGAACAATCCCCCTTTCCATAGTAGGTGGGGAGGTGCTCCAACCCCCACTGGTTAACTGTTAACCAGAGCTGGTAATCATTACCTGTTAAGGGTGATGCTTACCAGTTAACTGGTTAACTTTTCACATCTCTAGATGCTAGCAGAGATTTGTGATCTAGATTGCATCAAAGCTCAGACCCACTTTGGCTTTTAAACATTTTCAGGTTGTACATTTTGACATGTCATACTCCAGGATAGGCATGTAAAAATTCCTAAAAAAAAATAGTAACCATGTAATCAATCAAAATTAGAGCCATCACATGGTTACACAAAACCGACTGGACTAGCAGAAGTTTAACCATTAACCTGAACGGATAAACATCAGCTTATTGGTTAACCAGTTAAACTTTTAAATTCCTCTCCATGAGTGCATGTCTGGGTTTTTTGTAAGCTTTTAAAAAGATAATTTTGTATTGTCAAGCACGTTATAGCCTCTAAGAAATGTTTAAATCTTTATGTTCTGTCTTTGTACTCTGGCAATATTTTAAGTGTTTTTAGGGGGCTTCCCCCAAAAGAAACAATACTAAAAATAATATTTTTGTGTTCCTAAAATGAAAAATTATTGGTAGCAGCTAAAGCAGCACTGACATGACAGTTCTTTCAGAATAGATGAGAGAAGATATCAATTTCTTTGCTATTTTCTGTTACCAAGTAACATTTTGGAGTTTAATGCCTTCTCTTACCATTTTAAATTTTGGTAAAAGGTGC